TCAAGATCATTCATAAGACTAGGGGATAAAGTTGTTCTATATTCTAGAGTTGCGTATTTAGAAAGGATAATTTGCGTGTACAATTCTATTTATATAAAGCTAGGAATACGTTACCTTGTTACATGGAGTTATGCAAGGCAAGTACTAATTGTTATTACTGTTGCGATCTTATAAAAGAGCAAGAATAATTTTACTATTGTTGCGATCTTATAAAAGAGCAAGTACTAATTGTTACTACTGTTAAATTCAAAGCGACTGTTATTAGTCCTATATCACAAAAGGAGTAAGATAGCTTCACCTTGACAATTTATACAGGTCCGGAAGTGTGGGTTAAATTACTATTAGTCCCGCGTATCTCCAGATATGTAGTCAGACATTTATTTTGATTATGTATAAGTTCATAGAAAACAGGCTTTTCTATCTCTTATTGGTGCTAAAAGGGGCAGGTAATTTTATAGAAAAGGGGTAAAAATTATTCTTGCTCTTTTATAAGACCGCAACAATAGTAAAAATTAGTACTTGCTCTTTTATAAGATCGCAACAGTAGTAAGAATTAGTACTTGCTCTTTTATAAGATCGCCTCTTAGGATTAGAAAGATTTTGTCGAAACCTTTAAGCTTGCACCTAACCCAAAATAGTTTTACTTGCTTTCTAGGATTTACACAAGACTAGAAATAAATTACATTTACTCATTTTTGACTTAAATCAATTCCTTTCCCACTTGTAGCCTGGATGCTTACATAGGCATTACAGATGTTACCGTCTTTCATGAATAATGTGCATGCTTAACTAGGACTAATTGTATAGCTCAAATGTAAGTTCTCAGGTAAGGCTATCTGTATGTAAAAAATATGGTTGGATGTATTTTGAATCGGGATTGCTTATTACTCACTTCAGTTTGATATATACTCTGACAGGATAATTATTACACATTTCCTTCGGATGTATGCTCAAACAGGACGAATTATAGCTTACTTTACCTAGATACGTGTTTAAACAAGACCAATTTTTACTCACGCTAATTCAATGTATCCTCAAACGGGACCACTTCACTATATTCTTAAACAGGACCAATTATTACTCACTTGAGTTCAGTATATCATCAATCAAAATTAATTACTACCTACTTCACTTGTATCTATACTCAGAAAAGACCAATTACTCCCACTTCACTTCAATATATCCTCAAATAGAATTAATCATTCTACAGTTGTTATGCTATCTACTTCACTTGTATCTACACTCAAGAAGGGCCAATTATTCCCACTTCACTTCGATATATCCTCAAATATAATTAGTCATTCTACACTTGTTTTGAATATATGTGCCAAAAAATTACTATCCATTTCAAAGGGAACTTTTATCGAACATTCTTCAGTGCAAAACGATAAATAAACCCTCATAAGCTAAACCTTTACGGGAGATAAGACTGCTCTGGTTACGAGTTTCTTAAAACGCGATTTATGTACATTTTCTATATTCTTAAGTATTAAGAACACAATCAAATAATTATGTTATTTCGAACAGTATTCTGCATGATTAGAAAAGAGCTATAAAGACAACATTGAAAACAATGTATTATACTGATACCACAAGATACAAATGACAACCATAACTGTCTAACATAAAAATTCTTTCCTTATACCTGTTTTTATTCTCGGCATTTTAAAAAAACCTCACTACAATACTGTGCTTTAAAACAAACCTAGACTTTAATTTTGAAACTTTGTGACGATCTATTACATAGCTAAATTTTCTTTCTGTAAATTATATCCTGATATATTGCTACATTGTTTTATTAATTTCAATTCACAAAATTGTTCTCTGTAAGAGTTGTTATGTTATTTTATTAATAATACTGAAATGTTCTCGGTGCATTCCTTTTTATTCAAGTTCAACTGTTGAAGTATTCGCTATGTACGTTTTATTACGTTGCTTCATTCAACTTCAGTTATTTGATATATTCGCACTGTACATGATATTATGTTGCCTACTTAATGCAAACTTTCCAGCAAAGTGTTTTTAGTTACTACGTAAAACTGTCTTGATCATGTTGCTTTCAACATCTACAACATTATGATCCTGTATTGTTACTACAGTTATTCTAATCATGGAATACTGCATTCTGTAAAAGGTGCATACATATGCAACATATTTTCTCAAAAATGTGTACCCATCAACAATAAACACTTAAACAGCACTAAGAACTTGACTAAACAAGAGACTGTGGCACAATTTCAACAATGTACAACGAGCATTGTATAAGCATCAACAACAAAACTTTAAAACATTGATGACAACTTTTTTAACAATTCCCAAAGAAAATATTAAAACATTTTAGAATCGTCGTCTTTAACAGGCATTAACTTAAAATGACTGTTATTTTAACCAGCTCTTCCCTTGTGGTTCAGCGGCAAATGTATAACACTAAATGTCGGGTGCCGATATCTGCAGTGGGCACATTGCAGATAGCCCATGGTGTATTTTTGCGACTAAACATAAACATTCTTTATTTTCAGGATCATTTACAACAAACTTTTGTAACAGTGGTGACCTTTTATGGATCGATTTCTGGTGAAGAAAAGAAGTTTTTGTTTGTTTGTAATTAAGCACAAAGCTACACAGTGGGCTATCTGTGCTCTGCCCACCACGGGCAT